GTTGTAGTATTTTCATTCTGTTTCCAGGAATCTTTTATGTTCTCTATTTCAGTTCCCAGTGGTTCATGAGTAAAGTGCTATGAGCTAAAAAGATGGTTTATCTCGATGTTTTTAAATTTATTGATAATCTTCCCTAAAATATGGAAGTGAAATTTTTGTTGAAGTGTTTGTATCTGATTTTCCTTCTAGTTGAAAGTGATATATTGAAATCCTAGTCTTTCACTTGGTGCATATTTATATTGGTTTCTTTTTCAATTGAAGCTTTCATAACTATATAGTGACCTTAAGTTACTCTAGTGTCTTTTAACTGAAATTAATATTGCTACTCCAGCCCTTTCACTGCCGTTAATGTGCCACTCAGGTATGGAAGCAGCATAGTGGTTTTGATTTCTAGGTCTTTTCACATTTTGTCTTAAGTTTGAGTCTCTCCTGATGTTCTCCCACTGCTCGTCAGGTCTTCTGTCACTAGTGGTCAATGCACCAAATCTGTTTTCAACAACTTAAGGACTGCTAGTGTCACAGTGGCTTAAGCTTTGGGCTACTAACCATAAAGATCAGTGTGGTTCACATCTACCAGCCACTCAGAAAGTTGCAGGCTGTTCCTTAAGTATTTATACCTTCAAACCCTATGGAAGTTCTGTCCTGTAGGGTCACTACAAATCAGATTTGATGGTGGCAGTAGGTAGGTACACCTTAATGAACAAAGTACAAACATATCTCATCAAGGAAGAATACAAGTGGCCATTGAATTGATTCCAAGTCAGAAGCATCCTACAGGGCTTCTAAGAGTGTAAATCTTTATAGGAACAGACAGCCTTGTGCTCAGCGGCCTTAACCAACAGTGCCCCCAGAGCACCTTCTACTATTACTGTTAGGTGCCACGGAGTCAGCTCCAACTCCTATCGGCCCTAAGGTACAGCACAATGAAACAGCACCCAGTCCACCAGTGGTTCTTACATTTGAGCCCGTGGTTGTAGCCTCCCTGTCAATCCATCCTCCTCTTTCTCCATTTCTGGAGGGAAAATAGACAAGCCCTCAAAGTTATGTTAGCATAAAACCCACTGAGTCAGTTTGGTGACCTTTGAGGCTAATATCTTCACAAAAGTACACTGCCACATCTTTTTCCTGCAAGAGTGGCTGGTAGTGTTCAAACCTTTAACCTTTCAGTTAGCAAAATCATGTTGTGGTACTCTTGTACCACAATCTGAAATATTTTCCTCAGATACAAGATAAAATTCAGCACTATAAAGGATAAAATGAAAAGTGACGACGAGATGATTTGGGAAGGCCCAATGTACAGTAATATGGAAAGGAATGATTTAAAATGAGAGTGGATGCAATGCGTAGCTCGGAGTCCAGTTCCTGCCTCAGGCCTGACCACAGGTAAGAAACTGCCCTGACAACAGACTAGACATGCAGCCAAAGCATTAGTCTGGGGGGAGTTAATGACTTCATGGTGCCCTACTCCAGGTGCTGGCCTTCAGAGGCAGCTGAGGCCTTCTAGGCTGGGGACGCGTCCTCCACTCTGACACAGTTCAGGGCTCCCTTGGACAGATGCCTTCTCAGTTTTGATCTTTTGCTTACACAATGACAGCATGTGGTAAAAGCTTGTTACTTTCATTTTGGTTCATGTCTTAACTAACTTCTTGGTTACCTGGCAGCTATTTAGCCCTCAGCTCCCTGACACAATTGGCTTTGAAAATGAAGCCTAGAAATGTGATAGCCTTTAGAAGATAGTATTATTTGTTTCCTATAGATGTGGGTTGGTTTAAAAAAAAAAATGTGGCTTAATAATGAAACAGCTCAGTCACTCACTGCTTCACTTGCTAGAAAATAAGTGAAACAAATTCATTACCTTACAGTTCTGAAGATCCCAGTTAGTTTCAGTGACTAACACTCTGGAGCCTGGGAGAAGAGTTAATTTCCTTACCCATTGCAGCTTCTAGAGCAGCGCTTCTCAACCTGTGGGTTGCGGACCCTTTCACAGGGATCACTCGATTCATAACAGTAGCAAAATTAGTTATGAAGTAGCAACAAAAACAATTTTATGGTTGGGGGGGGGGTGTCACCACA